ACTATCTAAAGGCTTGTTTCTTCAGCATGGATGTACGGAGTATTTTGCATCCCTCGTTTCCAGGCACAATTGGTCTCTCTCTGGCTCACCAAGTGTCCAAGATCATTGGTATTGAGATGGTGGAGAAGGCAGTAGAGGATGCCAGGTGGAATGCAGCATTCAATGGTGAGTTCAAATTTGCTGTGGCAGAAGGTTTCAAACTAACTGCTGAAAAAACAGAAGCAGAAGTGAGCAGAGGGATCCTAACAGCTTACCTCCATGCAACAAAGGGTGGTACTTCATGTTATACCTAACATCTGGTGAGACTGACTTTGCTCAGTTCGTGGGGTTGCATTTTGCTTCACAGGAATTTCAAACTGTGAGTTTCACAGTGGAAAGGCAGAGGCCGTGTTACCACAACTCCTGTCATCGTGGGAGGATGCACGACCCATTGTTGCTGTGGTGAACCCATCGCGGTCTGGGCTCCGTAAGTGAATATGCTATTTATTTTCATCTTGAAAACAGAGAATTTTGAACAAGTTCTTGAGACTGGCTCCAAACCCTCTGCTCACTTAGTCTCTAGTTTCTTACCTTGTTGCTGACAGCAGCTAAAATCCCATAGTCTGCTGTTTTCAGTGCCTTTATCATGCTTTCTCTTTAAAGCAGGCAGCTCTAATCTTTTTTCCATCTTTCATACGCTCACAGAATTATTTAGGAGAGAAGGAGCCTCTGGAGGTCTGTGGTGCAGTCTCCCACCTAAAGCAAGGCGACCTTCAGAGTTGTATAAGGTTGCACAGGGCTATAAAGCCCAGTTGAGGTTTGAATGTGCTGAAGGGTGGATACCCTCTCCTGAAAATGTTTTCCCTAATAATATTTAACTAGAATTTCCCCTTGCTGCAGTGCATCTGTTGCATCTCATCATCTTCTCATGCCCCTCTGAGAAGATTCTAGCTCCACCTTCTCTGTAATCCCCCATGAGACCCCTGAAGATAGCAAATGGATGCTTGCTCACCTTTTCTTCCCCAGGCTGAATAACCCCAGCCCTCACTCTCCTCATGCATGCTGTGCCCCAGCCCTCTGTCTTAGTGGTCTCTGCTGGACTCATTCCAGTGGGTACTGGGAAGTCCCAAACTGGTCCTGGTGCCCAGACGGGGTCTCACAGGAGTATATGGAAGGTTTTACGTGTCTCTGCTTGATTAAGTAACAATTTTTCTCTCATCCTTCATCCCCCTGGGAAGCAGGGGGATTTCTCCCACTGCTCTATCCTGCCAAATTGGCTGACCTGTTAGCAGCATGGGTCACATTCCTGGTCTTCTAAGACCCTGCATCTGAGACAGGACATAGCAAAACGTGTATATACTTTTTGCCCTGTATTTTTGACAGTTCAGTGTAGTTCTATGATGCTTGCTGTGCAATCATTCCTTCTGGAGAGCTCATGGTGGTGGTGGGTCACTGCAAAAGCACGGTATCTGTTTTTCAGATTACAGGGTTGTGCGAGCCATCCGAAACTGCAAGTCCATCCGAAGGCTGCTCTACATCTCCTGCAAGCCAGACGGTGAAGCCATGAGGAACTTTCTTGAGTGAGCACCCTCCTCTCTTCCTTTGCACTGACCTTAGTGACAGACCGTATTATGTCCTGACAAGGACATAAATATCTCACCTTGGCTTTGGAAGGATTTTATTGCAGTTGAATTTCAGTGGGTGAGTTCTGTTGGTGTGATCCAGGACTAGTCAGTGCATGGTCAGAAGTGGTTTACGCTTCTGCCTTTAGGTTTACCTGCAAGCTGCACTCGCTGGTTTAAGGTAGCAGATATTCTCTGGGTTTTATGTTGCAGCAGAATGCTTTCGCACATCAGTAAAGAATAGAAAATAACACAAACATGCTGTAATGGCATTGTGCATCCTTCCCCAACAAAACAGGGCATCTGGTTGTGGGATACGGAGTCCACCGGGTTCACTGCAGGAAGGCTGGAAGTCACCTGCTTAGGGTTAATCATATAGCTAAGTCTTTATCTGAGGCAGGCCCTTTTGCAGGTGATAAATACGTCTGCAGGTAACCAATGGAGGCAGTGCAAAACTGAGTATCATTTCCTAAGGGTTTTAAGTGTCTTTCAGCTGGGATGGCTTGTGAGAAATGGAGCTTTAAACCTGCCACTGACTCTTCAGCTTGTCCATGAGGTTTTCAGAGCTGGTTTGGGATTCAGTATTAATGATTCCAGACCTCTGTCAGCTGCAGACTCTGAGGGATGTTAGCCAAACATATGAGACCTCCTTAGTGCATCCTGTATGCTATTGTGCTACCGATAATGGTGGGAAGTATTCTGCTACTGGTCTAAAGGATGCTCTCTTTGCTTTCCATAGGCTGTGCTGCCCACCCAACCCGGGGAAGAAGTTGGCAGGAGAGCCATTTGCCCCCACGTTGGCTATACCTTTTGACATGTTTCCTCATACTGTTCATTGTGAGCTGGTGCTGCTGTTTACCCGCTGACAAGGAGGCAGGTGTGCCAGCTTTGAGAGCTTGAGAAGCAGCCTCCTGCTGTCCAGAAGTCTGGAGTCGATGTAGTTAGGATTTTAACTTATTTTCTTGAAGTTGTATAACAATAAATAATTTTTCTTTTGGATTGCCTACCTCTACTGTTCTGTAAGGAAATACTTGGATTTCTGGTGTGAAAAGGTTCTCTGTAGCATTTCATCACCCTTCTCTCCCCTGCAAACCTCTTCTTGGGCTGCTGGTTAAAGCAGCCTGGAAAATACCCTCTCCCTGGTATTACGGGTTTTCATTATCAACATATGAAGTACTAAAATCCACTGTATTTTCTAATACTGTGTCATAGTTTAACGTGGCAGCTGGGAACTAAGCACCACAGACCTCACTCCTCCCCTTATCCCCCAGTGGGATGAGAAGGAGAAACAGACAAAAGGGGAAACTCGTGGGCTCAGATAAAGACAGTTTAATAAAACAACAAAATAAACAACAATAATGATAATCATGAATATGCAAAACAAACTATATACAATACAATTTTTCTCACCACCTGACAACCAATTCACAGCCCCAAAAAAAGTTTGAACTCCCAGCCAAGAGAGGATTCAGACTCCCAGAAATCTGAAAAGCCAGTAGTTTCCTTCCCCCCAGCCAACCCCCATTCATAAACTGAGCATGACATCTGTAGTATGGAATATTTCCATTGGCTAGCTTGGCTATCTGTCTGTGCTCCCTCCCAGCTCCTGCATACCTGCTCATTAGCTGAATATGAGAAACTGGAAAAAGTCCTTGATTTCATAGCAACAACTAAAAACATCAGTGCTCACAATTTTCTTCTTGTACTAAATCCAAAACACAGCAGCTACTGGGAGGAAAATTAACTCTATGCCAGCCGAAACCAGGACATACTGCCATGCCATTAGTTCTCTGCTTCCTTCAAGAATATTTCAGGTGGTTTTCAAGTCCATAGTGAACTTGCTATGAAGAAACCATAGCAACTAGAAATCCTCACGCTTCACTGGGAAAATGTTGACTTTTGGGGTCAGGGAAATATTTCCTGTATAAACTTCCAAAACCAATATTGAATTGCTGTCAGTCACGTGGATAAGTTGGAGGCAATGGGAAAGATTTTTCTATAAAATGGAGAACAGATTTCAGTGTCCTTCCTTCCACACCTGCCTCCCGCTTCTCCGCTAATGCTTGCTGACACCTA